TTTTCCTCTCTTCGATTCCGCGTTCGGCTGGATTAAATTCTCCGTCGAATTCCGTAGCCGTCTGTTCGCCGGGAAAGGAAATTCGCTTGGGAGCGCGGCCCGAGCTGTCGATATTCCGCGAGACTCCTAATGTCGAGCGAGTTAGAAAACGGCCGGTGACCTCGGCCGAATAAACGTCGCGTAATTACTCGAGCTCGTAAAAAGGAGAGTCCCTCCCTCCTTTCCTCATTGCCGAGCCAGCGGGCACGGCAGTTACCGCGACCGGGACGGCGAGTGAAAATGACAAGCGCCGTCCGTGCGAGCGCGGAAAATAGCCGGGACGAGCGTTAATCGGCAGCTCGAAAATTGAATCCGCGAGGACGCGCGAGTCGAAACGCGATTACCCGCTCATCGCGGACACCGTCGTGCCCGGAAAGTGCCTCGAAAGTCCGCCGGAAATCGCGCCGCAATGCCGAAAATAATCAACGGGCGATTCTTTACGTGTGACTTGTCCCGAATTGAAATCCCCCGAATACGTGCTAACAAAAAGAGAAATGAAGAAAGAAAAAATAAGCATCACTCCAATTCTCTTCTGTTACTCGCAAGATATCATCATCATTCGCGACTTGCGCTTCTTTTCATAATTCTTTTCTTTACAATTAGCGCACGGAAAAAAAGACCAGCCTCGGTAGCCAAATTAATCGCAACACATGACACCCAAAATTTTAACAGCGCAAACAATTTTAATCGCTGCAGTAGCAAACTTTTTTGCCACTGCCGTAAACGTATTATCGTAAATGACATTTACGATGGCACGTTCGCTGCTGTAGCAAAAAAATTGCAGCGACTAAAATTGCCCACGCTGCCGAAGTTCCAAATGTCAGTATGCCACAACTAATCCAACCACCGCAGCTAATCCTATTTTTCCGTGCATACATCAGACGTTCCGATTTCCAGACTTCCGGCGTTTCTTTTCCTTCTCCGATAGTTAATTTAATTTTATAACTGACGTTAATTTCACTCGCGAAATTTGGAACGCTGAAGCATTGCTATTGGATATAAATGGTAACACCATTTGCGACCGTACAGTTAAAATTTGGTGATTCACACATTTCACTGTCTCTCTCGCGTGTGCATTTCGTATCATGGATAAATGTGATTAGAACGTCGTCTAACCTGCGACGACGATATCCACAATAATTATTTACACCCAATATGTCGCGATCAATCAAGCCCGTGGTTTCGGTAAGTGCACGTGGCGTGATGAATTGCCCGTCCTGCCCATTTAAGTGATCCATCTGTGTACTTCATTATGCGAGGACACCAAATCGCGTGTCCCGACGCAGCGGGAATGTGCTTGCTACTCGTCAAAAAACGTGTCTCACGATGACACGTTCTCCCAACGCGCCGGTCCTTCGTTATTATACTTCGCGAAATCCTTCATTCCCTTCGACATTGTCAAATTATACGCCACATTGCCTGTTTGACGAATATCAGATTGACACGGAGGACTCGTCGTTTTCTTTTTTTATTATATATTAAATCGGATACTACAAATGCGTGTTAACATGAGGCAACGACGAGATAACACGTTTCTTTGATAAGTGGATTTCGACTGGTAAAAAGTTATCGATTTCGACATTAAAAAGAAAACTAAAAGATCTCGTTAGGTGTCTGATAAAATTCCGCGTCGAAGTTTGTCATTTATTTTGCCCATAAAAATTACCAATACCGCGAAACTGAATAATTTTGTTCTTATTTTAATAATTTCATTTGACAGACAAACAACAAACCTAACTTTTACATCAACATAAAAGAATAACTTCGTGAATGCCGGTTAACGTTCGTCGGTCGTAATTAGAAGATTATGAAATCTTTGTACTATCGCATAGCTGTGAGATTCTGAAAACGTGACAGCTTTTAATTACTCTTTTTTAAATCTAAAGGTGCGCGTACATTCCGGTACTCTTAGCTTCTCTGAACTTCCTTCAAGCAAATGAAAAAGTTTCGTAGGTTTCTCGAAAGAAAGAGAGGAAAAAGTAGGTATAACTGAAAATAATTTCCCACCAAGCATTGCCTGTCGAAAAACGCGTTTAATAGACATTTACGCGCGCCGATACTTGTCAAGTAATACGCGCGATCGGAAAATCATGGGCGCATAAGATCAATTTGACTCCCAAAGCGCAACGGACGGTTAAAGCGCATTCTATCCCTTTAACTTTTGAACTCTCGCTTTTACCGGTACAAAGGCACGCGTGTATCGAGTCGGGCCTGCCGCTTGACAACTTCATTCTGCCCTAAGTGGTTTCGCTGTGTCGTCATCCCCAGAATTACGGCTATTAATCAAGGGTCGTCCGAGCGTTGCAGTGAGTATGTGAGCGCACATGTGTGCGTATGTGTGTTGAAAACGCGCCTACCGTAACTTTTATTTACGCAATAGACGCATCGGGCAATTCACGTTGGATAATCGATTTGTTCGTCCGATGCTTTAGGTATCGCATCACTCGCGTTGCATCGATTCGTACTAATATCACGCCCTTCTGTGTAATTTGATCGGCATCGATTACAAATATATCACGGCTGGAAATATGTGGAAACAAAGGGCTTTAGTTAATTTAATTTCTAGTATTTTAATCAATTTTTAATTTAAATTTTCATTTTTAATTAATTAGAACGAGATATTCGTATCTAATTATAAAATGTGTAAAAATTTGAGACATTTTGGAATGCAGGAATGTGTTAAATGGCACCAGTTGGAATGTTGGCATTTCTGGCACACGCAACCCGGGCTAATTAAAAAGATCGTGAGAAGCATGTCCACCGATAAATTAGAAAGGTCGAAACGGTTGAAAATGAACGAAACGCATCCTTATAAATAACGAAAGGATTAAAAGAGGTATAAAGACACGTCGGAGTTGCACCAACGGCACGATCTGGGAACTTAAAAATGCCCGACATCTCGGAATTGGTAGATTTCCGGCGAGGAATGTGTAATCTCTATATGCACCGAGAAAATCGAATTCTCACGTCATTGAGTCATCGCTATCGTGAAAGCCTTCGAAATATGGGATCGATGGAAGGGTTCCGCTATCACCATCCTGGCGCCACATAATGTCATCAACTCCCACTCGTAGCATATAACTTACAAGGATCGATATCACGTAGACGAGACAAAAACGGGACGAAGAGGAAGCACGGGAGACAAAGAGAGGGTGAGAGGACGAGAGAGATACACAGAGAGAAAGAGAGAGAGAGAGAAGCGGAGAAAGGGATAGGAAGGGCATCGAGCGAGTGGTATCATCAAATTTGCATAGCAGCCGACTTGAGAATCGCTGCCGGGCGGTTGTACTGAATGTTAACGACAGGCTCGCTCGCTCGCTCGCTCGCGCGATTCTTTCGCTCGCGAGACTCCATTCTCGCGCGAACGAACACGCGGATCCTTCGAGTCGAGTGCAAAACCGGCGCCGTGGCGCACGTATTTCCGAAGCGCGTTTACGCATCTGGTCACGAACGGGCCCCGTTCTCGATTTCCTGCCTGGAAAACTGGAGCGAGCGTATGTCCGGTGCGCGTCGGCGAGAGCGGTTTTTTGCCGGCGGCTTCCATCGATATGGACGATACGACGTAACCGCGGCTCGATGCGTTTTGCCGCCGCGTTTTCGCATAACCGAGGTGGAAGTATGTGATTCCTAGATGTTGTACGCTCCGCGTCAGTTTCATTTCCAGAGCAAACAGTCCTCGGAAAGATCCCGGGATGCGGCACCGGCACCGTGAAAATCTGCCCCTTTGCCTTCCCGCTCTCGTCTCTGCTCCGGAGAATGTATTAACTTCGAAATGGCTGTAGGAGATTAGAGTTAAATATCGATGTACTCGGTAACGGAGTGAAACAAATCTCGGTATTGGTGCCGTTAGGCGGATTTCGGTGAGCTGAAATGTGAGCGGGACGGAAAGTATGATCGCGAATTGCGATTGCGGGTGTTCCACTCTTAGAGAATATTACTTCGAAATGCTCTTTCATCGAAGAAATTCATTGAATTTTATTCTGTTAAGCTACATCGATTTTTTAACGAATGATGTTCTTTACCTGTTAACCTTTATTATTTATATATTCTTGGTGTTTACCAAACAATCGCGTTAAAATACTTTCTCTCTACGTCACGGTAGGTTGTGCGACTTTGTTTAACATAAGAAGAGTAGATCAAAGTGCACGAATAGCTTTTCCAACAGACAACCGCGACGGAACGCGTAATCTTTCCTCACGTTTGCTTAATACTAAGAGACACGATTACTAACAAAATACACGACAAAATAGTTCATTAACTCATGTGTGTGAGCTATTTCACGCTGGTAGCAATGTTCAGTAAAATCAAATATTCAATCGGCACCGTGATGAAAATCTTACAAGGGAGGAAAGAACATTTCCGAACGGTTTCTACGATTTCCTCCTCCGATAACTCCGTGATCTTGTTATCTCCCGCAACGTTAGTCCGTCGGTTAGTTATGCGACGATGGGTGCTGGGGAACGGCGATATAGATTTTAAATGCATCCGTTTCGGTTATCGGAAATGCCGGGAAACGCGACAACGTAATGGAATTTCTCAGAATCGAGAACGAATTATTGAGAAGGACCCGGTCGCAATAAGTCGGATCTCGTTATACCGAGGTTAAGCGCTCTCTGGACGACAATCGCGCGAAGATTATTATAATTTTACGATTCGCGGGCCGTACTTGTCGATATCGATACTGCGCACCGCAACCATTTAACGAAACAGTAAAAAATAGATGCTTTATGAATAACGAATCGACTAACTCGGGCGCGGTATTTGCTTTCACGTGAAAGGCAAGCGTGCATCGATTTTTACCCGTTTCAAACTGCGGGCGTTTTAAGAACCGTCGCATCTTGCAAATATTTATATATATAAAAAAACCGCTATCTATTATTTTTCTGATTTTTCCGCGATTATCTACGAAGCATCGATCGAGGCGACGGGATTGTGCAGACGTATTTTGGATCACGTTGCAGCCCCAGCTCTGACGATCAGCGACGATTCGGGACGTATAGTTTCCAAGGAGAGACACCTGAAGGCGGGCAGTATCCTCAGGCTCAGGTGTGAGGCGAGGGACGTGCTCGAGTCGCTGAACGAGTCCGTCGTTTGGACCAGAGGAGACGAGACGCTCACTGAGGACGTCAGGTGAGTGCTCGGCGAGCCATTGTTCCGTATTGCGACCGCCTGTTCCTGATTCGGACGCAACATGTGCGATCGCCTCGATAAGTCCTCCCGCCTTTTTCCCCGACACCCACCCGCCACGATGGCGCACATTCATCCCTTTGTGTCCCGAGATACTCCGATCCATATTCCGAGCGTGCACTTACGAGAGATCTGCAAGTATCCCTCGTCAATTCTGAGTAGCCGAGTACAAAAGATGTGTGTTTCCTTGTTTCGAGCGCTTCCGCGCGTATTTAGCGGTTGATGTCGCACCGCGGAGTTAATTCCGCTTTGATCCTGAATATAGGGAATATTGAAAACAAGGTGACTTAGAAATGCACAGGCTCGGCACATTGAATAAAAAATATTCGGTCAATCACAGTTCTATATTCTTACGAAGTAAATAGCGTGATTGTTCATTTCGATTTTACAAACAGATAACCATTTGTTTGTCGCTTACGATATAAAAATAAAGGATTATTTCGTGATATTGTTACAGTTGTAAGAGAATAAAGTTGTAAAATGACAAAATAATTCTACGTAATCTCTGATAATCTTTCGCCTTCGTGTTGCAAATTGACAAACACACACGTGCGAACACGGGGAAACCCACGTTATCGAAGTGGAAAATCTGTGTGTTTATTCCGGAAGCATTGATTATCGCGGGGCCACGTTGAATGAGAATTTTTTGTTCGGTCTCGTGAATACCGCGAGCTTGTAAATTTTCAAGCAGCCTTTCATTAACATCTCGTGCATACCGGAACCCTCGAGGTAATTAAAAATTCGGCGATCTCTCAGCTTCACATCCAGCTTCAATAGATCTAATGCAAGAGAAATGACGAAAAGATTAATCTCACCGTGAAGGTCCCCCCTTCCGTTGTAATCGATTGAGCAGGTATGAGATTCCGACTGGTCGCGGGAGCGGAAAGAAATGTCCTTCGCGCAACTTTCCGGAACGATTTCGCCGCAGAGTTCCGACGTAAAGCGGGTTTTTAATTAAATTATCGGATCGCGGTAAAGCCGGAATACGTAAGAGCCTCGGAGGTTTGCTCGAAATCTACATTGCCGAAAGGAACGGAGACTCGCTCCCCCTCCCTTCCTCACCGTTTCCCCAACGCGCTCCTTCTGGGCGACGATAGCGCGGAAGATATCTAAAAATTCTGCATAAGTATTATTCTCGTACGTGAGCCGGTAAAAGATTTTCCCGTACGCTCGTACTTGCTCGCGGTTCTTAATGCAGCGGCGCAGAAACTGCTCTCACGGTGTCTACATTCTGCGTTCGCGCGTCAGTACGAATACAATTTTCTTTTATGCATACGTTTACTCTTTCCGATAAATATTAATAGGAACTTTATTTACGCCGAAGTAACCTCCATAGGGCTCTTGTTGAGCTTTTGTTGGGAACTTGCCGCAATAAAGCTATAAAATAGAATATACGCTCGAAATATAAGTGAATATTCAGTCTCGTGGCAAGCACGATCTTACCCCATTTTAGAATTCTACAATTTCCCGGTGTAAGAGAGCGAACGTCCTTACGTGTTCCGTAAACACTTCATATCGATAGCTCCTCAATATCAAATTTTTCAGGGAGTACGAATGGAAGTGTATAAAGTCTGAACGACACATAGTTGTAATAACACGCGATATGAGGTTGTGAAGGAAATCCTTAAGAAGTCTAATCTCCTTTTCTTCGAAATAATTTTTCAGAGAAATTTTTATACGTATTCATTTCTGCAAATAGCCGTAAATTTTCAATTCCGTTGTTACGTTATCACCATTTCGCGGCTTTGCACGATAAAAACTTAATTGTACTATATTTCTCAAGCAATAACGTTTCCAATTTAAATATAGGTGTTGAAATTGCGAGCTTTAAGCTGAAAAATTTCCTCTTCGTGTCAAGGTGAATGTCTTTACCTTCGGGAATGAACGACAACTCCAGCTCGTTATCGGTTATTCGCTCGTGACGCGCACGAAATTCAAATAATACACGCGGCAATAAAGCCCGACGTCCGGTCCCTAAACGTGCTTCTTAATTAAATCGACGGACAACGTGTGGTCGAAATCCACATGCGAGAGACTAGGGAGTTCCCCTAACAACGCTTCGCGACCACTCGACGGAATCACCCCTTCTTCTCCCCCTCCTAATCACTCGACGATAACGTACACATACACACAATACAGAGTGTTTCAAATTTCTTGCCTTTCCTTTCCACACAATTTCAAGAAAACGCGAAAAATCATCAACGGAAATATACCGAGACAGCGATCTACTTTAATCGCTAAATCAAGTATTGCGAATTAGAAACAGTTTAGAAATATCAAAATTTTATCCATCGTTTCGTTTCAATTTACTTTGAAGAAAAAACGCTGAAGAAAAAAAGGAAAACTCTCAAGCCGAGGCTCAATAAAATAACGCGACTGAAAAATCGAATTTATCGGAAGGAGCATGAGACAGCCAATAGGATTCTAACTCGTTACCGAGACGCCTTCAAAGTTTGCCGAAACAACTCGGAGTCCGATAGAATTTTAACTCACGGAGTAAAGAGAAAATTATCGAGATTAAATTGTCCCCAAGATCCGAGATACGACGGCACTACGAGACCGAACTTTCGCTGGGGAAAGATCGTTTCCAAAAATCAATCCGGTCGGTCGGTCTTGCCGTCCACTAGGACGCACCAAGACACCCCGAATAAGGGGAGTCCCGGTCGTGTGTTAAGCGCGGCATGTGAACCGGACAGAAATTCACGGGCACGATCTCGTTTCCAGCGAGAACAGGACGACGGAGATCTCAGCGGGCAAGGAGGTCCTCGTCATTGTCAGTACCCTCATCGTCGAGAGAGCCAGCCCGAGGCACGCCGGGAACTACAGCTGCATGGTGGCCGGCAAAGCCAAGACCACCGTCGCGGTCCACGTCCTCAACGGTGAGTACGTCCTCGCCGCACGTATGCTGTCCTGTTTTCCCTCCCCGTCGTCGTCGTCCTCAGAGAGGACGGGGATTCGGCGATTCCGTTCGCCGGCACGTCGCTCGTTACTTATCAAAGCGGAACGAAGTTCCATCGTACTCGTGCGACGTCGGCGGGGAGGGGGAGGAGGACTCTGAGAGAATCGGTGCTACTACGCGCGTGCTATGGATTAACAATTTGAAACTTGGCTCATCGCGACCAAACGCCGCCGCCACCTTCTCTTTCCCGTCTCGAGCAGAGTTCCCCTTACCCTGACATTTGCTTTTAGCGATTTCCGCCCCGCGGGATCGAAGCGTCGGCGTATATGTAACGCTTCTGCCATTTCTCACGGAGCTCTCTCTCTCTCTCTCTCTCTCTCTTTCTCTCGATGAGCGACGAGCCGAGGTTTCGACAGTGCACACGTGTGCGAGCGATTCCTCTTCGGGTATTCCCCGACGATTACGCGCATCTCCACGCGCCATTTCGCACGCGCGCTCGCGCCTCCGTTGCTTCCCCGTGCGCGACATAGGAGAGCGGGATTCCGGACGACGCGCACGGTAGCTACTTATCAAACTCGAATGGAGTCGTCGGGGCGTCGTGGGAGTGTGAAAACGCGGTATGAATCGCGAGGATTCGCGGTATGAATCGCGATCGCTCACGGTTGAGCGAGGGGAGGTTGCCTCACGTTCGCCGCCATTCGCGGATACGCGTCAACTGCGAGCGCGCTTCACAATCATCGTTCTCTTTCTCTATCTTTGTATCTGCGTGTATATACAAGGTGTCCCAGACCCAACAGGGGACAAACCCGCGCGGGTGCAGAACGAATTGAGGTAAACAAAAAAAGCTCCCCACCATCTTACAAACAACACGCAAAATTTCGAATTATTGATCATTGGAAATGGCCATGTATAGAAGTTTCTTGAATTAATAACTAAAAAATTTACGTATTAGTTGTAAAATGGTGCGGGACTTTTTTGTTCAGAGTGGCTTAACCTACAAGTATAGCTTCAGGCTGAAGGCCAGGTGAAGGATCCCCTTACTCACCTCAATCCGTTTTACGCTCCCACGAAGTCCGTCCACATTGTTCCAGGACACCCTGTATATGTGGTATATATATATATATATATATATATATATATATATATCTCTCTTTCTACCCTTCCTCTCTCTCTCCCTCTCTCTCTCTTTCTCTCTCCTTCTACCCGCCGGCATCGTAGAATGTTAATGTCGCTGTAGCTCTTCATTATATCGCGCGATGCATCCACCGCCGCATTTCCGAAAATTTGCGAGGACGCTTAATTTATTCCGGCGACCGCGCGTTCGCGCGTGATAGGGAAATATTGTGCGTTTTATCACGAGCCGCGCTACCGCCGAGAGCGCGTCGTTTCCACGGTTCTTTACTACCTGGCGACGAACCCGGCGAAATGGATGTCCCGAGTATTCTGTCGCGCTTTTCGCGAAAACGGCGACGGGATTTCTGATTTATCAACCGGCTTCTACCTTCCACCTCCTCCTTTTCCACCCCCACCTGCTCCGAATTTCGTTTATTCGCGATTCGAATAATAAAATGGATCAAATTCGAAATTATAAATGCGATGTGAGACTTAACCATACGATCTCGCCGTACGATCGATATTTTGCTCGATTCGCTGCGTTTCTACTATTAGGTATTATTAAAAATAAGACGTCTCTGAGAGAGAGAGAGAGAGAGAGAGAGAGAGAGAGAGAGAGAGGTGGGAGAAACGCACGTGGCAATGGGCGACGGGAGAAAAATCTCGTTCCTTCGTCGAACACTCGGCGAAGATTTCAAAGGACACGCTAGTCGCTTGCGGATTCATGGCAATATGTCGTGAAACAGGTTATTAATCGTAAATCTGTGTCGCGGATCTACGATGTGTAATGCGCCTGAAGCGCAGGGGCGATGAAGAAATCTGCCGTAGAACGTGCGCGCGTCTTTTCCGGCAAGCATCGGTAAGACGGAAAACTCCCCTTTATCCTCTAATGCGCTTAGCAGATGTACCGAAAACTCGGCAAAACCTGGAGATGAAGGAGATAGAAAGGGAGAAAGAGAGAGAGAGAGAGAGAGAAAAGAGAAGAGAGAGCGAAGAGAGAGAGAGAGAGAGAGAAAAAGCGCGCTCGCGTTTCCTGAAGCATTATCCATTCAATTCGAGCGCAGTTCACGCTCAAAATTGCAGTCGTCGTCCCAATCGCGCTCAATTTCACCTGTTACAGAGCACTTCTAATCGCGCCTGCAACGACGATACGCGGAAAGGACGGTTTAACTGAAAATATACAACTCACAACTTTTTATCGTTTCAATACTGCATTCATTGTTCGATTTTGGTGGAACTTCTACTTGAATACAATGCAATACTGACATCCAAAACTCGCGATGCGAATGGAAGTTAATAAAATTCATTATTAAAAGAAAAATCAAGAGAAACATTTTTAAGATATTTTTTTTCACAATACTACTCTTGTAAAGTTTTTAGCCAAAATGGAAGTAAAACTGCGAGCGATAGAGCTCGCGTCGTTGATTTTACGTGACTGATAAAACTATGCACTCGCAACGCAAATATTATCTTGTAGGGATAACGCATGATCGAATTCTCATCAAGTTTCTACTTCGAAATAAAAAATCGATCCTGCGAGGCTTTTGCTAGAGATAGTATCCGGTAATAGCGTTTCCGGAAATATGTCTTATATAAAGGAAGAATCGTCTCCTTACAGCCCGTTCTACGGCGGGGGATGGAAGGGCGTTGATACCTAAAGCTTTCAGTCGATGATCGTCGGGAGAGAAACGGCAGCGGATGAAACAAACAGCGAGTCTCGCGACATCGATTAAACGCGTAATATACAGCAAATATTTATATTTTACGATATAATAATAATTACGGCGAAAGCGCCGTTCTCGGCGAAAAATAACACAATTACGGGGCGCGACTTCCGCAGAATTCCCGATGAGGATGTGAAAAAGTTCAAGTATAGCCGACACGAGAGCCAGAAATATCACCAGAAATTTTTGAAATATAGAACCTGAAATATAGAACTCACATGAAAGGAGGTTCTCGCTTCTCGTGATACAAGAAAGCAGCATGGCGTCGAGGAAAGCGCCGGTAGAAGCCGGGAGGAGAATAAACAACCTACGTTCTTGAGCCGCGCGCGCAATACAAATATATTTGCGATGAGATACTGTGCCCCTTGTGAGGAGAAAGCAAAAAAATGAGAGATCTCTCGCGGTATATTTGCGAAAACCGTACACGTTTCGAGTCTGCTGAGGTTCCATACTCGTAATTGCTGAGAGGGACGGAGCGCGACGCGTGCGCGACACAAAGTACAACGTACAACCACGACGTGACGTCGCCTCGTGACGCAATGAGGCCGCCGCGCGTCGTCTCTTTATAATAACCGACGGTAGGAAAATCAAAGGACATCGAAGCGGGTAAAGCGGGAAAATGAAGCGGGGAAACGAAATGTCGAAGAAATTGCATCGCGAACAGATGGAATCGCCGGTCTCTGCATAGGACGCCGCGTCTCGACGTCTCAGCGTCTCTGAAAATCCTCCCCCCCCCCCCC